TCACGTTCCAGGATGCATTTGGCCACATAGAATTATTTTTTTTATTTTTCTTCATTTTTTAAAATGTTTAAAATTTTTTTATTGGCTAAACAATGATATATTATTACAGATATATACACATATAGATATGATTTAAGGAATGGATAACAGAACTAGAGCCCGTCCAGTTAGTCTATTTCGTATTTCTATGGTCATGCTGTTCCACGGCGTCCAAAGCTTTAATTTCAGAAACAACGTAAATCAGCTACATAAATTTTACCATTTCTTGTGTTGTTTTTGGTAGTCATAAAAAATTTCCTTGAAATAGTTCCTGTTGCATGGGCTCTTCCAATGAAGAAGCATCACAAAAACATGCAGTCCGCCATCTTTGCTGGCAATATACCTTTTATTCAACTGATTACAACATATCCTTGGTAGTTGGTACTTGGAAAGTTTTCAGGGGTAACGGCAAGCTGCGGTACGTACTACAATTTCAGTCGCATTCTATATCCAGCTAACTTAAGATATTTATAATTTGCCATCTCAAATTAACGGAAGAAAAAAAGTACAAACTATGTCGTCACTTTGAGGAGCTCAATATTTGTCTTTAGCAACTTTTCCATGTTTCTAGTACAATCGTGAAAATTTAGCTATGCCTTCTTCTGAGGTGCATACATACATGGCAATTTTTTTACAAAAAACTATTAAATAGTCACACTGAATAGTTTTCCTAATAGACAGTCTAATAGGAAAAATATTCAATGTGACTTGCCTAATAGCAGCAGAAACAAGGAAATGCTAGCGCTGTGTGAAGAACAATTTGAATTGTATACGTACCATTAAATACTGGATAATAAGTTGTGCCAGTTTGAATAAATTGAGAAAACAGCGGTTGATTTGGTAACCACTCTAAACGATAATATAATCTTATATATAATTTTCTACACGAAAAAATGTCCACGCATGCAATTTTCAGTTTGTTTGCGTGAAAGTATGCCTTTGTATAACCATAGCCTATTAACCCCCATATAAGAGAAAACATACTCCGAAAATAAACATCTTGTAAACCCAAGATATGAGTTGTCACCTTGAATATTGTGTCTTGGGTTTACAAGATGTTTATTTCGGAGTTTGTTTTTTCTTATATTTCGCAAAACTGTCTGCTGGAAAAGGTTTTTGGATTAACCCTCATAATAACTAACCTTATAATATTACAAGCTCCGTTTACGCTACACTCGAAATATTGCCGCGGCTAAAATAGGTACCTGTGCCCATATCATGCGTGTCTAGACTATATTGGTAGCCTGAGCACTAATAATATTGGGTCCGGGTACCAGTTTGAGCCATGCCGTGCCTTGACTGTAGTGTAAACGGAACAAACGGGAGCGCACCTAATATTAACCAGACATTTTAAAAAAGCCTTTTACATTCCAAATAGTCGCTACTAATCAACATAAAACATGTGCTCCCATCAGGCTTTGCGTGCTCAGGGTCCTACCGGGTGTGGTTGAAGGTTGTTACCAATCTCCCGTAGCAACGATGAACGGCCTGATAAAACTATGACTAACAACAAGTTGAAAAATTTATAATGTAGCTGGCCGGATTTGCTCATAAATATTATTATCATACGCACGTAAAATTACCATTTCCTGTTCAATATCACATAGACTAATGTTGGCCAAATTTTCTTCCAGGACCTGCAGATTGACATCATCAATCACTGTCTGGATATCAATGAAAGCTGCAAGAAAAAGAACCGTGGGCCGTAGCTAGAAGGTTGATAAGGGAATTGTATATTAATTTAGACTTCTCAGTAATTTTGTTTGCCATGTTAAGGCAAATAGGCAATTCTCCATTACGTTCCTCCGAAGCACCCTTTGTTTTTCAGAAGCGTCACGGACGCATGAGCAACCTCATCCCCAGGGACATTTTTGGGGCTAGGGGCAGAAGGAGAGAAATGGAAAGGCCCTGGGATCGGCCGTTCAGAATAACCACATTTGGTGGGTACTTTTATATAACCATAATTAATCGTAAAATTTTGTCTAATGTGTTCAAAATAGCAGGGTCACGTGTCACGGATAATAATCATAAGCATATCGGAATGGCTTTTTGTTACAAAATATTACACATAAAATATTACTGACACGCTAATTACACATAAATTAGCTATTTCCCAATCGAGCAGGCGACTGGGTCGCAAACCGCATTGGAGGGACAGGAAATGTAAGTCTGAAATCATTTGTCCTTTCAAACAGTCCGTAGATGCTTTGTGGTTCCGACCATGGACACGAAGTTATCGCATAGGTAGATTTTAAAAGGTCGCAGTTAGTCCGTACATTCGCTTCTAATCTTTTTGTTGTTGTTAGGTGGCGACACTCTAGAAAAAACCCTCAGGCTCAGGCATTACTTGTATCGATTGACGGTTTTCGATATTTTTACTTTCGACTTTAAAAGGAAGTTACACGTTAATCGCCGTAAATCGTCGACATTCACATGTCGTAATTTGGTGTAATTTGGCTTTCATACTAGATTTCTCATAACAATGAATTGCAACAAATTTCGACATGTGAATTACGACAAATTATGACGAATTATGCTATATGAAAACCAGTTTTAAAAATCAAACCTGATTCGCATGGTCAGGATGTTAAGAATTAGCCATGTGAAAGCGACTTTTACCCCCAAAGGTATGCTAGCATGATAATTGCTTGATCATTGCATGATATAAAGTTATGGGGAAGCAGATACTGTGGCAAAAACAACTTAAACACGTATATACATATACGTAAACGCGATCCGGTATAGCGTAAACGAGATGCAAGACTAGAATTCATTATAAGTCAAGTGACTTCGCTTAGAAATGATCAAAAAGCCGACCGCATAGAAATATTCCGGCGGCTTCAACATCCGTTAATGCTGAAGACAATAAATCATGCATAATCTTGTCGTAAAATTACAAGTTTTTGATGAGTCATGTCCGATCGTACTCACCTAATTGTCGCCAGTCAATCTTCCGGTTCAGGGGAGAAAAAACAAACTCCATGTGTGAGTGAATGGTGAGACTCCGAGAGCATTTGCCAGACCGGTGGAAAAGGTAAGGAAATGTTTGTTGATTAAAGTATTAGATTATTCAGTGCGTGTGCACAAAGAAGGCTGACCTTTGAAATTTAAATTAGCTAAATTCTATTCAAATCACCGAACAAGTATGCTTTAAATCAGGCCTGAGTTAAGGCGGATTTCCACTTACAGCGAAATCGTTCGCCAGCGAAATATTTGCATATTTTCTTTTGAATTTTAACAGCATAAATAAATTAGTGCGACTTGACTGTTCTCAATTCAAAAGAAAATATGCAAATATTTCGCTAGCGAACGATTTCGCTGTAAGTGGAAATCCGCCTTTATATGTCGTATTTTGGTCGCATGGGGTGCAATTCAAACAGAAGATAATGAGATGATAAACCTCATTAAGCTTCATTATCATCTCATTATCCATTGTTTGAATTGCATTCGACGCGACCGCTGAAGGTAATGTTAGACGAAACAACTTTCAACATCAACTAACTCGCAACGCAACAATAAGCAAAATCTAAACAACAATGTTGTGCGGAATAAAAACAGTTCATTGCTTTCAAACGGTCTCAAAAACAATTTCTGTGTTACAAATTTAGCTTTTCCTGTACGCATTGTACACGTTAGGACTGCTCGCACGGTTCCACTTAGCTAAGACTCGAGAGAGAAGAAGCGAGAGATGACTTCAAGGTATCCGAACAAGGCCTATATAGGTTGTACGTCGCTTCGAATGCAATTCGAACAATCGATAAGAGACGGTGATAATAAATTTTAATGAGGTTGATCATTTCATTATCTATTGTTTGAATTAGCTACATTCGACGCGACCAAAATGCATGCAACGTATAACCTAGGCCTAAGAATGAATCAATATAACATAATTCTGGCAGTGTTGCTGTCATCCTAACTATGTATGGCATGTTCTTAATTTGTTTCAAAAAGACTTGTTTCATTACTTCAAAATTATCTCACACTTCGTCAGATCTCGGGTAAGCTCGAGTTTATGTATAAGCAGCCCTAAATTAGACTCGCAGCCCTTGAGTCTCCTAAGCAGCCGTTTACATGAGTCTGGTCTCCAGAGACTTAACGAAGCGTGCGATACTTTGAGCCACTGAAACAATATTCTATTTTTAGCGAAAGCCAAAAATTTTCGTAATGACTACACTATCACGACGCAATTTTCTTAACCATTGTACTTAAGTTACTACTTAACCATTCAATACCAACTTTGGGAGATGTAAATATGGCTAATAAAAACTCTTCTGTTGATTACATATCACGTATGTTTTTCAATCAAAAGTAGGACTCCGTCGCACTTTGCAAGAAAATTGCATCGTGTAACACGGCATTTAGCTCAGCAATTTGGAAGTAAGGATTTTCCACTGTCAATAAGCAATTATTGGATGAGGTTGAGTGTGATATCGAGAGTTATCAAGCCGAAGTTTGCGTTATTTGCCGAAGCGAAGCTGAGGCGGATAACGCGCAAACTGAGGCTTGATAATTCTCAATATCATGCGAAAACCGAATTCAATAATTGTTTTATTATGTATTTCCTTTTTAGAGAGGAAGCCTGTGACATTATTGACAACAAACTAGCGGCACAAAATTACGTCACCTACGAATAATTTTCAATGTCGTGTAGGTGGCAAGACATTGAGAATTATCTGTAGGTTTTTAGCCAATCAAGATTGTATTAGTAATGCATAATAATCCAATTTATTCAAAACCGCAGAGGTAAATTACTAAGTGGACATTTATACGTTCACCCTATAAAGGGTTTGGTAATTCAACATTTTCACTTACAATTATCAGTGTTTTGTTTATCGCATGAATATATTTCTTCAATAACCTCACAATAATATAGATATAGGTATATAAATATAGAAATTATCAAAGTTACAAGTTAACCTAATTGATTATTCATCATGCAGGTAATTACAAATTGATGCACCTTGAAAATTTCGTTTAATAATACATAGTTTTTACTTATGTAATTTGAATGTTCATTGTTGCAATGCTTTTTGTTTATATTATATTTTTACGCATGTAACCTACCCTATGGCTATGCTAAAAAATAGTTGACTTTCCTCCTCGTTCAAGTTTTTTTTTCAATCCCTGGCAAGACAGGACGTTTCAGGATATGTCTTTCCGCATATCTTTTTGCAATGAAGCTAGCTTTGTAATTTAGGTTTCTTTCGCGGATGTTATAGATTGAAACCTCTTAAACATCCTCTTCGATCTTTGCTGTCGACATCAAAGTTGCATCTTTGTTCCTCCGTTCTTTCGTGGGTAGCTAAATGGCAGCTATGGTCGGCTTTGGTGATTCTGTACTTTGTTGCGAAGTAGCTTTTGTTGTTCCTGTTGTTATCGGTATCGACGTTGGCTTGGTGTCGTTTGTAGCTGTAGTTTTTGAAACAGTGGTATTCGACGATGCGTTGTTTGAAATTGAAACGGGAGGCTTCGATGAAGGTGTGGTGTTTGAAATGTTCGGTTTTGATGTTGTTTGTGTTGACTTGGTGTCATTTGGTGATGAAGTGGTGTTTGAAACAAGAGGTTTCGATGGCATTGAGAGGTTTCTCGTGTTTTCAGTTGTCGGCACAGGCGTTGGGCATTTAACGAGCTTCAAAGTATTTGTCGCGTTGTAAGCTTTATACAAAAAATGATTGTGTGCGACGTAGTTATATCCTTTTCTCCCGTCAGGCATACCAGGAACTAAAATGAAAAAACACGAACTGCTGTTAATTTAAGCCTGTAAATGCTAAGATACGATTAATTTTTGACTAACATAAGTGTGATCTCAAAGAGGGCCGACGAAAATTTGTAGGTAGATTCCTTGACATTGGCTATTTTTTTCAGTGTACTCTCTCTTTCGGAAATAAATAACTCATTTCAAAAGATTTCCTAAGATAAAAACTTAGGCCTATTAAGCTTGTTCGGAAACCAAAAAAAAGGCGTTTTGCTGGTGCTTAGACAGCCCGGCGGACTGAAATTAATGCAGCACTGACTCGCCATTGAAAACAGGATATATTATTATGTTACTGTTTTATCAACTTTATATAGCCAATCGATATCAAGTGTCTTTTCTTATGAACTTTAGTAAACCTCAAGTCTGAACTTACCATGAATAAGCTGCACCAAGCACAATTTCATATCGGCGTGGTATTCGGCATCCGTGACAAGGCAATGTGGCACACTTGCCAAACCAAATGTACTTCCACTTTCACATCCAAGTGGAATTGAATTTTCCGTTCTTCGAGTTCTGGAGCTATAAAAATAAGATATTAAATTTCATTTCAGAGACAATATAATAAATGATATTCAACTGCTTCAGTCAAACTTTTTTAAAAACGGGTGCGAATTTAGTAATTTGATTTAATACTTTCTTGAAAATTTAGCTTCAATTGCCAATAAAGAGTGAATTGGTACACATAACTGTTGGCCTCGGTACTATCTTTCTACGAGGATTTCATTTTTTGACTGCACAATTTGATATTGCAAAAATTTGCCGGCACGTCAATAATTTTTTATAATTCATGCGGGTAATGATCATGCTCTGAATTTAAAATAAGCGATGTGAGATATCAACGAATGATTACGATATTTGATATTGTTCGTACCAACAGTTAACTATTTTTTTCCTTTACTGGCCTGGTCGCAGCGTAGGCGTGTACAAATGTTATTTAAGTGCGTGTTATGTAAAATATTTACTATTGGATGTAGAGATATTGTTGATTTCATTATTATACTTGTATATGAAATTTAAAATTCACAAGAGAAGTTATATATCAACTTTACGGCACAGATTTCAGCAAATATTTCAGTTGAAATGTCAATAGAAACAAGTCTTTTCAGCAAACTTTAATAAAGAAAGCTATTATTTTTCTCAGCCGTGCAGTGAAACTCTCAAGCACTTACAAACGTGCGTAAATACTCTTGCATATATAAGAATTAAGGCATGCTCTCTGATAGTCATCTCTTTTATAATATTGAATTTTCTAGCACAAAGTAAAGAGAATACCGATTTTTTTGTTGAGATTCTCTCATGCTTCTCTTAAAACCGTTATAAGCATTAAAACGAATCCTTAATTTTGAAAAGTAAATAGAAAATCTCTAAGGCCAAAGTCAATCCCTTTGGGTAGTGCAAAACATAACCTATCAGTGTTGGGCACTGGCAAAGAATCTATTTCCTCGGCCCTTTGTGTGTTTCAATGACTTACAGGTAGCTGTTAGCCATTAATCGCTTGGTCTTCAGGGGAATCTTAAACACAGGCATGATGTTTAGACTAAAAGAGTCATAGTTGGGTATGGTACTTAATTCATGCTACATCTCTGTAACACGAGTATATACTTCACCTGTATGACCCTGTCAGGTACACAAAAACTATCTGTTATTCTTATAATAGTTAAATTTTCAGACCATTTGCCAAGACCATAAAAACCGAAAAACTCCTACTGATTTGTGCGAGACAGATGTGAGGCAAAATTAAATTGGCCTTCGCTTAAATGTTGAAGCAACTGCAGCAGCTGCATGAAAACGTTACCAAAACTGAATAAAACACTTTGTCCGCGATTTTATACAATAGCTCTTTTTTGTAAATATTTACCTTCGCTCTAGCTCATTGCTTTCGACTCTTTCCAAAACATTATTATCATCTCCTTTTTTCGTTGCGATTCTCAGTGGAATAGCGGATATTTGAAATACAACACACACGAATATGAAGATATTTGACCATACGTTTGCCATGATGCTTGAGTACGAGCGACTGTAAAAAGGACAATGAATATATTCAGGTTTGAGTAGGTGGTATAGCTAAAGAACTACTGAGATGAAAGACTATATTTAACAAAATCATTCTTACAATTCGGATAACATTAGTGATTATTGGATAGAGCATGCGTAGAGTGTTAAATATTTTAAAAATTCCCCGAGAATAGATGATATTTACGTCAATAGATTCTGCACATCGCCAAACAAAGGTCTTAATCATGAGCTTGGGAAGCATAACTCCCACATTTTTATCCATCTAAACAATTATTGACAGCTATAGCTACTATTTGCAGAGCTAAGTCTAGTGCGATGCTTTTTTTAGGGGGGGGGTTAATGTTGAATACTCATAAAACCAAATCTTTCTGTTTTGTCCGGCAGATCTTTTTTGAAAACGCGTATACGAGTACAAAAGAAATCCGTTGGACACAACGAAACATGAATATGCACCACCAACCAAATGATTGCCGTTTAGTTTCGACCCCGACTATCATTTAAAAGGCATAAAAAAATAAAAAAAATGAAGTTGTAAATTGACATTAAACAACTTTTAAAAAATCAACCATGTAAACTAAGGGATATAACTGCCCCATATATGGCACGATTTACGCTATAATCACAAAACACTGTCGTTAATATCATCATTATACTCCGGTGTGACTCTCCCCCCTCCTGCGTTCCGCCATGGTAACCGAGTACAACACATACACAGCAACTGGAAACAATGTGGACAATTGCGAACGCTATATGTTGTAAAATTTCCGGCAATGATTAAAACTTACAATGTCGTGCTTAGCAACCTGTAAAGCCACGCACCTGAATATCAGCATTCACGCACAGCGAAGAATATTGTTAGTATAATCTAAGTTTATAATTATAATAAAAATCCTTACAACGAGAAATAATTCGCTTTGCGGGTATATGATGTATAGGTTGGATAGGCAGTTGGCTCAAAAAATAGACGGCACTTAGGGATATTCTGAATTGATCGTGGTAACGAGACACAAAGGATATACACTATGAATTAAAGTCTTTATTCATATTCATTTCGCTGCAAAAAAACGAATACTGCGTCATTCTCAGTTAGGATAAAAAAATAAGATCTGACTGATAATAGCCCAATTAGTTAAACACTTCTGGAATTTTAAAAACTGCTCTTTCAGAAACTAAAAAAGAATGCTATGAACGACAGATAAACAGTGCATTATCTATCATGCAATATAAATTATACTGCAGTCTTATCTTTAAAGATTTAATAAATTGATTCAATAATTTTATAGCGTATATTTTCAATATACTTTCTCGAATGTCTAAATCTTTCTGTTTTTAATCATTTATCAAAATGAGTGACCATAAATAGCGATTAAATATGATGGCTCCCGTGAAGATTTAATTAAAAGAACAGTTATTCTATTCATGTTATAACGGTGCTATAATATTGCACCTTGCTATTCTGCATATAGGCTATACATAGACTTGCATGAAAATTGCACGTGTTTTACCTTTTTCATATATTGTTGCATTTCCTACATAATGATATGGTATAATTGATTGGTACGAAACGTTGATTCTTTTAAAATAACGATTCTTTAGACATTTTTTATTTTTGAAAACATTTTTTTAGGGGCGGGATTTTATTTTGATCTTTGAGCCAGGAGTCGGCCAGGAGTTAAAAATTTCTTCAGCCAGGATAAATATTTTAAGATTTGTAACACTTTGTAAATTTACAAACCAGTTGCCATGACACACTAACACAAGGAAATACTCCAATATAAAATTCTGATAAATGATGTCACGATCGGTATTCTCATCAACAACACAATGTTATTACAGTTGTGTTACTGTTAGATAGCTCACAAGAACGCCTTCTAACATTATTTTACGGAATATATTTAACAACTTCCTACAATATTTAAATGAACCTCTGGCCGTTTCACCCATCATATTATAAGAGCCTTCGTCAGGAGTAGAATCGTTCTCAGACGAAGGTCGTTATAATTATATAACTTATGTAGGTGGAAAAGTTGTAAGAGCTTCCTGTCTAGTTTTGGACAGTTTCAGAATCTATAAGTTTTGTTAGATGAAGTTAGACATGTACGCATAATCATTAGCTTCGCAATCAGGAAGAACAAGCCGGCCATTACCCCGCCCCCTCCCCCAAACATTGCACGAGCGGAACTCGACAGTACGAGAGCTTTCTTCCACTAAAAGTCTTGATTCAAGTATTAAAATCTATAGCTGCAAGCAAGTTAGCACGTCAATCGAAGCGTTTTATCGAGCTGAATGCTATATCTCTCTGGGAGGTTATATTCCTTGGCTCTCCCTGAAGGAAAGAAACCGGGTGGTTCCGATAGAGAGTACGTTATAAGGCTAAATTTGCATCGTAATGGCAATAAAATAGACGGTGAGTAAGGCGGGTATAAGTATTTCAACATCCGACAGTCGCGTAAAAACAAAGGCCTTCGCAGTTTCCTCGTAACTTAATAACACAGCGCGGTAATGTTTTAAAAAAGCCATGCACAATGAAGAACCATAATATTTGCATCTACATTGCATGAGAGGCCTATAACGTACATATAGCTAATGTACATAGCTAATCGGAGTATATGTCATAAATTTTATGTAACCGTAATCGTGACGAAAAAAGTCTGTCTAAAAGACTATCCGAGAAACGTGTCCAAAAGGTAGCTACAATAACAATTGTATAATATAGCCTGTAGTCTACACATGAATCACTAAGTAGATCAAAATGTTTATATTTTTGTAATAATTAAAGAAGTGTAAGAAAGCCAATATAACTCGGGAATCGAAGCTTGTTGTCATGAACATTCATATATATTCAATGTTTAGGGCGGTGATACTATAGGGGTAGCTATAAATACGGAATATTGAATGCATAGACTGACGAAATGTATATTGTGCACCTAATTAATCATTTGTAGATTCGTCAATTTGTAAATTTTTCAGTTAAAAAAATAATTATTTCGTTGCAGTGATATCATGCAAGAGCCTGTCGGGTGATTCAGAAATCGCGACATGCCTCTTCCAGTATACGCTTTCTGGCAAACGTAAGTACAATTAACAATTGTACTTGCATTAAAGCTTATTATAAGTATAAACACGTGTTATTAGATAATGAAGAGCGATCATGCATTTTGGGTAAAAGAAGCCGTTCCAGTAGTCACGTTCCAAAGAAACGAGGAATTTTGTTATTTACTCTAGTCTTCACTCCGGATTTTGCTGTTCTATTGCCAAATAACAGAAGCCGTGAAAAATCGTATCATTGTTTTTTAAATCAACCATTAAACTCTGATATGGTTTGACGTTCGTTCATGAGATATGGTTCAATGAACATTCAAGGTGGATTACGACAACTTTTTTACCTAAATGGTTTGCGACTAAACCACATACGAAATAACGCCCGCTTAATTATATGGGTTCACGCGTTACTAATTATATATACGCGAACAAAATTTGGTATGAGACTCGTTTAGGCATCGTATCTCGTTGTAGGCAAATAACGGTGTTCAGCGTGTTCTTAGAATAAACATAATTTGGTATTGGCAATAATTTTTAGTTCAAAGCATCGAAGCGAACCTAGAAACGATCTTTACCCAACTACCATAGAAATTGTATTCGAGTTTAAAATAGCGTTTGTATTGGATCGAGGGTAATCAAAGCCGAAATACATCTCTCAAGAGATCAGTTGGTAAAATATTGTTACATAATCACATGTTAAACTGACAATTAAAGGCTAACCTATCATCTCTACATTATAGTGCAAGTTTGAAGTATTATTTGTAAAGGTGACTTACTTGAATGATTCCTTCTGCGACGAGAATACACAAATTTTCCAAGTGGCCAAGTTGATGGCGAAGGCTAGAGTATCTAAAGTCTTTGTTATTTGAGTAGACTCTAGCAGTTCCTTTTAAACTCCATGTATCCCAACGCCCACGTCTCATTAAAATTCGAGAATGGCGTGAGACCCTTGTATTCTGAAGAGGAAGCACTCGAGACTCATTAAATTTGGTCACTCCTTTTGGAATTTGTGTCATGCCAGCATGTTTCAAATTAGCAATACAACTCTGCCGCATCATTCTTTCTCATCAAAATGCTGCGCGTGTAGCGAAAAACAGTCTAATACCGCAGTGCAGCAAAATATCTCGAGGCCATATCAGTGACAAGACAGTCCAGCGAGGGCGTCAATATGTATTAAGTGCATGATGAAGAGATGAAATTCCATTGCCTAATTTCTAACTAAAAATCTGGCAACGCCACCGTACTCAATTATACCCTCTTAATTCTATATAAATTTCTGAAATTCAAAAGATTATAATTAATATCAGCTGGAATAATTTTTGGATGATCTGAACCAGACACGATGTTTTGTGCAACGCTTAAAACTGATGAAAATTATTTGCAAGTTTAATAGATTAGGATTTTTTCCCACAAGAAACGCCCATTATTTTGTGCGAGTTTTTAGGGAATTTTTGGAATATGTTCACAGAACATATTTTATGACATTAGAAGCAATATTTATAATGCGAACGTAATAATTCGTCTCGTAGCTTCGTATAACGTATGACTTTAACCAGAATTACGTGGCTACTTCAAATTGCGTCATCCTGTCAGAACTCTCTACTAAAGTAAAAGTTAAGTACATAAACCATCGCGAATATATATTATTTGGGGATGTTTTGTGATCCAATTGATAAAAAAGTATATAGCTACAGCAATGCAGCGGCCCATTGAAATCATATTTAGAGCATTTTCATAATATGATTACTTGACGAAATATGCCGGCCTTTTAGAGGAATACGCAGCCAGGCCTAGTTAGGGCTATATCAATTTCATTTCTGAATGCGTTGACCAAATACGAACTTGGGAGATGTCAGCTAATAGAATCATATGTGGTTATATGAAGCTTAAAAACGGATGTCAAAATAGAACTTTTTCGGCGTGGGAATCGTACTATGGATAGGAAATAAAAAACCACAATAGTTGGCAAAGTGACGGCCGTTAACTCATGCTGGTTTACGGTGATTTCATTATCATTATTACACAACAATATGCGTAGAAAAATAGAAAGTATTTTCACTGAAATCTTATATACTTTTTTGGAACATAATTAGTATTCATATAGACCCTTTTTTACTCACATCGAGTGATATAAAATTGAAGGCACTGGAAGTTTTATTGACGAATATTCCAGACTCGATCCCGTAAATCCCGTATTATTCAATTTTATCGAAAAAATGTTAAATTGATCATTATTGCTTCCCTTAAAGGAAGTCGTACTTAGCCGCACGAGCATAGACTGCTCGTTAAGACGCGTTGGCACGTTGAGTTTTGTTGCAAGATGCTTCTTCGAAGATTACAAATAGTGATGTACACTTAAAAATCGTTTCTATGGGCAGGCACATCAGTCAGTACAATGGCATGCTTTGTTTCACGCTTTGACATTCAGTGATGTTGGCCACAAACAAGCCTTAAATGACTTAATAAACAGCTGATTATTTTTGCATGACGATAATAACAATATAAGCACATGCTTGTGAGTATATTGCGACGTAAATTTCATAAAGCAAATAAATGCAATTTTTAAAACCAAGTTTATTTATTTCACAGAATCGAAAATTAACGCTCTCGAAATAGTCAAATTATCTTTACGCTCGGGATCACGCAAAAAAGGCAACTGAAGTGTTTCAAAACTAAAACTGTATTTTATCACAAGAAATAGAATATCAAGTGAGAGAGGTATATTAGGAAATCTAAAAAAAAGAAAGTTTAACTCAAAATATTCGAAGTTTTTGAATTATGCTGATTCTTTGGAATTAATATCTCAATCTTTACTGGTTTTTGAGTTATGATATATAAGATTACCCATAATATAAATTAACATGCTCACCAGATATCAAGGCGTGGGTGGACTAAGGAATTGCAGGCAGGCTTAATGTGGATTGCTTGCTTGATTCTAGTCCCACAACACATGAAGATATTATTACCATGAAAGTAAAGTTTTCAGTGATGACAATCCTTTTTAATTTAATTCTTATATGGTATAATAAATCCGGCTTTTTTCTCTTTTAAGTACTAACTATAAAACCTTGATTTAAATTGCTACTATCCACAATGAGTTGCATTTCCTCGCAATATAATAGTCGATCAACTTTTTAATCGCATCTGACTTCCTTAATTACCCTGAAAGTACACATAACGGCACTCTAATTGCATGTTTATAATTATGTTAATATATAAGATGGCATGCAATGAATATCAAATTGCAAATATCACTAAGGACTGACAGGAATTCTGTCAAGAAACGTGTTTGAAGACGGCACAAAAATTAAAATACTCATATTAATAAAAACGGCAGATAAAATTAATGAACTGATGTGGTAATATAAAGCAAGTGCAGCTGTTTTTCTTACCAAGGTAATTTTAATTTTCTCAAAACATATAGCAACTAGAAATGGCCACTAATGCTCCACATGCATGTAAATAAAAATTTTCGGTCAAAATCATAAGCATTTTTCTCTGTACGGAGTATTCCGATTTTCCTTCCCTAGAAATTTCTTTTCAATTATCTTATGCTATTTAGAAATACTGTTAAAGTTTAAATATCCATAACTGAAAGCAATTTTATTTCCATACTATGCATGAATATAGTATGCAAACAGTTCCATTTTATGGATTTTGAAAAAATGTTTCAAACTTGTTGCTATGTTACATCATTGAATAGCTTAATGCTGCTTCTTTCCCCTCTAATTTAAGACCATTAAACTTGATATGTAAGTTGCCGGCAATAAAGCCTTTGAATTTCTTTTCCGCTTTCTTGTTGAGACACTCGGTATATATTGAATCTATCAACAAATCAAAACATTTTCTGTATCTAAGCCAGCTTTCTAATACATTGGGAAATGGCAGAGTTTAAAGCATATTAAATGAATTCAAACATTAAAAATCAGAATAAAAAACATAAAGAATTTACTCGTGATTTTTCTCAATGTGAAATTATAACATTCCCAAACCGCAATATTAACGACGATCAAGTTAAATCAATATTCTCGACAGCACTAACGACTTATGAGATTCCGGGGGATATTTGGGATATTTGTACTTTTATTTGGCAATCGTCCTTGAGTTTCAAATCTTGCGCTCGCGAGCCAATGTGGCTAGGACATTAGCCAAAGCAAATAATGTCCTTTTACTGTTGCTGGCGCATGTTTTGTTCATGGTCGCGACGTGTGGATCTCAATTCTCAACAATGTGCGACGAATGGCAGGAGCGGAAACAATGCAGTATTGAGGATTTTGGAATCATTATGGATGGATAATGTAGTGCTTCTCGGCAAACTTCAAAGCATCTGATATAATGAGCTGGAATTTAATATTCAGACAAATACACCGTGAAAAAATCGTTTGAAATTCTGCCAATTAATTTCGACACAGTGAAAAGATGCCATTGGATAATTGTTTCATACTTTTAGGCTTAAAGAAGCGAAGACGGTAAGTTTACCTCGTAAACATCAAAAGAATCAGAAGATATGTTAAAGACTGAATGAAATTTTATGATCAACAGCGCGTACCTGCAACATGCCAAAGTTCTACCACCAATATAAAAATCACACGTTTAGGATTAAATTTTTTAATAATTATATCCCCTTTTTTCCGTTTACCTGAGGGAAATATTTTAACGGAAACGGAAAGAAGAATTGATTGTGGTTAGAAATGGCCCGACCTATTTTGGTCACGAAATTAAGAGTTGCTCGAATCTTCGAAGAAATATCATACTTCCGGCGTTAAAAATATCATGGAGTCATACGAAATACAAACGTTTGGCAAAAAAGGTTCATGAGATATCTTAACTTCACAGCGCCTTATTTAGGTTTATCTATGTGAATCCAACTAGCTACTGACGATCGTTTAAACAATTGCTTCCAGTAGCCAGCCTGACGATTTGTCCCGCTATGCTAATATTTTATAGTGTTCAATGACTGCAAAACAATAGATTTCTAAAGACATGAATAATTATAATAACTCGAAATATATTTTAACTCGAGAAATTATAATAACTCGGGACAAAATCGTTAGGATGGCTACGCCACTGATTGTTTTGGTGAACAACAGAAACATTCTTATCTCAGCAAACCTTTTACTAACGGATTACCTCGATTATACTTATATGGAGGTTATAAACACGATGCATGCAGTTTCCATTTAATTTTTACAGAACTGTATACATTTTTGCAAAAAAAATGTGATACAACAGAATACAGGGTGTATAAAAAAAGGTAACCCAACTTCAACACAATATTGTACGTGAACGGCATATAGTTTATAAATGAATTTTTCACTCATTTGCTGTATAAGATTAGGCTTTTAACTATATTTCACCTAATTCCGGTTTTCTAAGGGTATTTTGTCATTGTTGGTCACTTTATATTAATATTTCCACTCTCATCATGAAAAGGCATTATTGGGTTAGAACATTCCCTTTTCATTTCATGATAATTTATTCCATGCAAAATTTCCGTTCGTATCATTAATTCTTCAGCGTTAATTCTTCTGAAATTCCTCTCTCCAGAAGAAACACATGGGGAAAACCGTGCATGCCCATAAAGCTGCTATTATTTTATGGTTAAAACAGAGCTTGAATATAACAAAACGCACAGTTTGCCAATACTGTTTTCAACTTCTGAAGATGGACATTTTTTGTATCGTATATCACTGATTCTTTCGACAGATTCGCGTTGAAAAATCAATGCATGCTCTTTGTCACATGACCGAAATAATAATTCATGCAGTAATGACCATTATTAATATTCATGACCTCGCTGGCTTGCCGTAATTATTAACTGTCATTTGATTATTTAGAAAACTTCACTGTTTTTATCGTACTCAAGTTTAGAAAAACATGAACTAAAGAACACGAACAAAGACTCTCGGCACGTTTCCCAGGCATATCGCTATTAAGTTTGAAATAGCACAAATAAAATATCGCATCACAAGCCAAACCACAGCTGGCATGAACCAATA